AAAAAAAAAAAAAAAAGTGAGCAGATCTTCATGTATTTTAATACATTCTATATCAAATAATGCAGGGTGTCGTTACAAAAAAATTGTTTGTGGTCAAAGTTGCAACTGCACCAAATGGTTTTAAAAGGGATGAAAAAATATATTTATATTTATTCTGGATGCTTCCTAATTCAGTTAGTAATAGAGCGGATTTTTTTTTCTTTTTTTGATATTGTGGCATCTCTCAGATACAGAGAAAGCCAGACCAAATGCATCGGTATGTTGAAGTTATTTTTCACTGTCATACTCAGATCAGAAGCTGATCAGAAGCTTAAAATTAGCTTTATGCATTGGTCTTCTTTGTATGTCAGAATGAAGCTACAGGTTATAGATACTGGTGAAAGGTTCTGAGCTATGAACTCTATTCTGCTAGTCTGAGAAAGATTTTTAATTTTGATATGTTAAAGATAAATTAAGGATCACTCTTTTTTTGTAACTTGGTTGCGACCTGGCCAGGAAGTAGTCCAGGCAGCCATGTGAGAACACATCAACAAATACATTTTTAAAGTTAGCACTATTGTACTTCCCGCCCCCCCCTTTTTTTATTTATTTTTTTAAAAAATAATATAATCAATTTCTAACCTTTCTACTTTGCTATTCCTGCACATTTCTATGCTACTGCAGTGACCTATCCATACCTACAGCCACATCACGACCCAGATAAAAGAAAATGATTTTGAGTCAGGATTAGCTCCCTAACCTGATTTACTGTGCAGAGCCAAAAACACCCATTCTGGCACAATGAAGGACACAGCAAAAATGATGGAAAATAATGGCTGGTGATAAAAAGGAAACCTAATTAAACAGCATTGGCAATAAACGTCTGACCATGCTCATAGACAGAAGCTGTCCAGACACCTTTGAATAAGTATTAAAACTCTGGATTTGGACTAAGCATTTATCTTATGAATTACAGGAAATTATAGACAGAACATTTGAATATTCATGATGCACAAATGAAAGAATGGTATATAAAATCATGTTGGTTCCTGCAGAGTTTTTTTTTCAATTATATCAATTTCCAGATTAAATGTCTTAATCAGGGTTTAAATACTAACTGCTGTGTAAGCACCTTGGGAGTTAAAAGCTGGCTGAAAAATGAGAGAACTTCCAGAAAAAGACTGAAATGGAGGTAGTATTCCACTCCTCAGAAATCTGTAAATGGATTTCCCACTCTAAAAACATTGTGGCAAAACATTCTAGTAACTCTTCAGTTGAAGATTCAAAATTAGCATAAGTGAACTAAACTAATTTACACGGATTTATTTAAGACCCAATAAAGAATACCTACTCTTTACTCTAGTTTATTTTGTTACTGAAAAATCCTGGCCGTATAAGATGACCATTCCTCTAGTCGATTAACCAGGAGGAAGACAATTGCAATGTCTCTGTCAACACGACGGGGAGCACAGACCCATTTATCAAATTGACAAAAGTCCCTGCACTTGACGAGCTCAGTAGAATGAGTTCTCCACCTCCAGTTTTCACAATGCCAATGAGTTATGAATCAGGGATATTTTTGACATCTGAAAGCAATTCAAGGTGAGAGCACCAAGACAACTGGTATTTGCCATTTAGAACTACAAATAAACTTTTCAGCAGTAACAGACCCTGCTGAAGCTAATTATGTGGCTGAACTTGTATGGATTGCCTTTCATTAAGAAATAGAATGCCATTTGTATTTTAAAGTCTCTCATTTCTTAATACATGCAGTCATGGTGACAATGGATAGGATTTTTCCTTCTGTTGTAATCAGAATAAATCTATCCATGTACATTATTTTACCAAGAGGAATTTCAGACCTGTTCCAGTGCTTCTAGTATTGCTTCTAGTATTGCACAAATTAATTCCTTTTTTTTAAAAAAATGTTTTTTGCAGTGAATCATATTCTTAGAAAGACGATTAAGTCTAGATATTAGCTTGTCATGACATTAGTATATGTTTAGTTGATGAGTAGGTATGTACACTAAGCTAAATCACAAAGCATTGCAGCAGAAAAAATGAGCCATGATTACTATACAAATTATTATTATGAAAGCATTATTACGAGAGAATTCACGAATTTATCTGTGAGACACAGCAAGTAACTTGAAAAGAAGGGAAATGCTAAACTCCATTTTCAGGCACAGTAACACCAGCCATATCAGTAACACTAGCAACATATATAGCTGAAGGTGAGAATGTGAAGACCTCATTAAAAACACCATTGATGTTAGCTATTTCAAAGATCAGAAATTAGAAGTACATTAGTCATACTTCCACTAAATTGATGAAAAAAAAATCCAACAGTAAATATTGAAGAGAATATTCATTGTAGATCTTTGATGGGAATCTAAAATAACAAAAAATAAAACAGATATAATGGCAAAATTTAAAATGTAATAAGAGTAAGGGGAAGTGTTTGTCTTGTTTGCTATAGTAGTGGTATGTTCTACCAAAAGTTATTTTTCTCTCTGACAGAACATTCAACATTTCAATAATAATTAATAACATGGGACCTCTTGCAGACAAATTTTGCACATTAGCACTAGTCATTTTGATGGATTTGCTCTACATCTATGCCAGCATACCAAAGCCTAGGGTACTTTCATAAAGATCTGACCATAAACATGACCAATCACAAGACAGAGAATGAAATGGAAAAAGAATAAATATTGTACTGTTCTATTCATCTTTCTGTAAAACATGAACAAACTTTCAAAATACATCATAGAAACAGAAAGAAACCAAACAATTGTGTCTGAGTTTCTCCCGTGGTTATTATAAATCCAAGATACTCTTGAGCTCTCAAAAGAATGTTAACTACCTAGTGAGCGAGGCTTTTGAAGCCTCAGTTTCCAGAGAAGTTCACAATGAGAGAAAACACAAGACTAGAGATAATGTCAAGTATTACACTGCTCATCCTCTTTCTTCAAATAACAATATGGAATGGAATATTGAACAACTATGTCATCCTCCTCTTTACCTGCTTGGTTTGAAAACTCATTTACTGAGAAACTGCATAGTTCAACACACCTGTGATAGACCTACTTTCTTGTACAGATGAAAGCAAAATAAATACTTCAAAAGACAAAAAATTGAGATACCCATTGAAAGAATCTATGCGCAAGAAATCACACTTTATCACTATTATGAGTAAGGCATTACTCAACTGTGAATGACAGAGTCAGTTGTATAGGGAAAGATACATCATTCCTTCACTTCAACTTTAAGGTAATCTTCTTGATATGCCTACTTTTTAAAGTATATGTCGGAAATATAGACAAAGAAATCACGAAGGATATAAAAAGCAACAGGAAAAACATGAAACAGGTGAAATTCTATTTTGTTGCACCTGCAACATATTTAAATTATTCTTCAAGAATACAATCTTTGATCAACTTACTCTGCTTTTCTATCTACATTGTACCTTTGCTTTAATCATCTTTTCATGTTGTTTGTCATTCAGAAAATGTATGTGAATTAAATTATGCCTATGGAGAACTATTCCTTCTGCTTATCTTCTCTCTTTTATTTTTTCCTAATATTTTTAAAAGAAACAAAAATAATTATTTGAATGAATTAGAAAGAAATGGTAGATATTTTTGCTCATGGATGAATAGGCATTTCAGGTGTATGTAGATATTCATATAAAAGGAGAAACCGGGAAGCACTTGGAGGAAAAATAACCCATGTATGTGGTTATAGACAGAAATAAATTCTAAGTAGTTTTTCAAAATGCATGGCTATTTGGAACTCACATAAATATAGCTTAGATAATAGATACAGATATAGACAATATAGTTGCAGCAGTATTAACACATATAAAGCAAAAGAAAGCACTTATGACTTTTACGTTGTTAAAACTATCACATTTGTAATAATAGAAAATAGAAAATAACTAAATGGTATTTATTTCATCACCTAGCTTTAGTAATCTAAAGCGAGATGTGTAATAAACCCTATGAAAGTCAATTGAAAGGAAGGCACTCCTCGTTTTTGAAATGGGTGTCTATGGAGGATGAAATGAATTGTCCTTCTGTCGATGCTGCTTTCTCTCTGTTGCCTCTTGAGGAGGTATGAATGTCTAGCTTAAACAGGAAAGCTAAAACTCAGTCAAGTCTAACTTCAGTGACACAAGTGTCTGAATTTTAAGAAAAGTTAGTCTGTAACTGAATCTGTGATCCTCCGTGATCCTCCTAGTGCAACTAAGAAAGGTAAATACTCTCAAACACAGGTGCCCAGATGATCTACACAGGTTATCCTCAAAATAGCACATATGCATGATGTACAGGATACACACAGATTCTAGCCATTTCATTTTAGCCAGTACAGACAGCATGTTGCAGATTAAGAAAGACATGACATAATGCTGCTCACAATGGCAATTCCCTCTGTCTATAGAAATCATAACAGGGCTGGCCTCCTATCAGTCCTTTGCTGAACTACGACTCACTGGAGGTTTAGGGTGGGCTGTCAGGTGCTCTTCCTTTATTATGTAAGACTGTGCCAGTCAAGCAAGAGAGAATGTATTTTATAAATAATTAAATAATTTTATTGTAATCTCAACTCTCGCTTTTTTTTTTTTTTTTTTTTGATAATAGCTTCAGCTTACCTTCTATCAGCTTTCCCGTCTGCTCTGCATTACCCCCAGGCAAGATCTTGGCAATGTAAGCTCCAACTTCTCCACTACTTCCTGGGATTTCTTTCCCCCCTACAACTCGGATTCCCATCCCATTTCCTGTGATCAAAAGAAACAGACAACTGTGAATAGATAGATAAAACAATGAATATTTCCGTGGGAAGAAAAGGAAGTCATCAGAGGTTACAGAAGGATGTCATTAGGACTACCTGGCTGTGTTTGGAAGCTTAAGGTTATTGCACCAAGCTGAATATCTTCAAAACTGCAGAATTTCTCCTGGAGAAAGGAAAGAAATGCTGCTAGGCTAGCAAGAGAGGGAACTTCCCAGTTCCATAAGCTTTTGAATCCGCAGGGAAAATAAATAAATAAATAAACAGGTAAGGAATCATTTGCTCAAGTAACTGCAGTCCCACCTGATACGTCCTCCAGGACTTACCTTTGATAGGAGTATTCAGTTCACTTTTTCTTAAATATTTCCTTTTAATTGACATCTTTTCTATACAGGACATAGAAATCATCAGAATAAAAAAAGCCTACTGTGTAATTCTGTGTAATTCAACATCAAATCAAAGATATTTTCTCTCTTCTTAAAAAAAATACAAAGATGAAAACTTTAAAATCAGTTTGATTAGGAAGGGAATGGTATCACTGATATCCGTTGTTTATAGAAAACTGAGAATGAAAACAAAAGGTTACAAAATAGTCTCATTCAGCTAACCTTAGGCATCACGAATTTTTCATTCCATCTTGTTATTTCAAAAAATATTTCCTGCATAAGAAAAAAAATCTCCTTTGAAAAAAAGAAAATTTCAAACAAGATGATTCATATTTTGATCTAGGAATTTAAAGGCTGATTTTACCACCCCTGCTGTAAAGGCTAAAATATTTTCTGATGTATTAATTTAATAACCTAATCCTGATGAGTGATTTCACTAATCAGCTATAGGGAGCTCATGGCACAATCTCTTTAAAAATTTGCATCTTTTTAGAGTAAGGCTTTTCCTGGGAATGCTATTAGTATTCTGAGATATCAGTTCTGAGTTTTCTTTAGAAGTAAGAGAGTCACAGTGAGTTTCTGGCCCAGTTTCTTTGGAGCAGTAATCTTTCTTGCACTGATTTCAGTCTACAGTTTTATCTTTAGTATCCTATAATTGATTACATGCATATAGTACACTGATTTTTTTGTCTGTCTTTTCTGTTTCATTGCTTAGTGTGGACTCTGACTAAAGAAGTTAGTGTGCATAGGTATATATGATGCACTGAGATAATGTAGCATTATATAAATCAAGCACTATGCATTGCTGGAATCTGCCAGATGCTCAAACATAAAGTGATCAGCATGGGGGCTGTAGGCACCTTGTAGAGGTTAAAACCCTTTGTGGAGGAGATGCCTTCCATCAGAATTTGGTTTTGAGAGCTACTTTAACTCATTTGGGTGAGGATTCAGTGTGAGGAGGAGCACCTGGGAGTCACAGGGGGGTGGTATGTGGTGAGATATCCTGAGCCTCGTGGATGATTTTATTGTGGTCTGAAGGCCAAGGAAAAGACTTGAGGGTAAATATCCTGGAAATAATCCATGACATGGCTGAGGGGTACTTGATGATACATCATGGTCTGGGAAACTTAGAGGTTTAAGTACTGTAGGTTGAGATCCTCAGCAGACCAAATTTCATACTGTTTATGCGCTATAGTGTCTAACCTGGGAAAAATATTTTGGTATGGTACTATGATGAGTACAGGTTATAGTGCTTTGCACATGTGTTGAAAATAATTTATACCTGGGTTATATTTCTATACAAATCAGAGACAAGCTTCAGGTTTGTCATGTAAATCCATATCAGATTTGATTTTTTTTTTTTTACTTGTGAAGTAATATTTGACTTTAATACAAAACAGATAATACATTTAGGGAATGTGTAAATTCAAAGTCTGTGATAACATAAGCTAAAACTGTGTATGTTACAACTACACTCTGATTTGGATTTAATATAGCAAGTATTTCCTCTAAATTTGTTTATTTATTTATTTATTAAAGTTTAACCTTGACAGTTCAAAAAGTCTTTATGAAATGTTGTGCAGATATGAAAATCCTTAATATGAGCTGTAAGTACTGAGATGATGTAACGAAATTACCTAATGAATTCTTTGGACTTGCTTTGCTAAAACTTGCAGCCAATTTCCCCCCACAGGCATGCCTTCAAGTTGCAATTTGAATGCCTGATCAACATCTTTATTAGAGCTAGTCTCTTGTAAAACTGTTTTCCAGCCTCTTTTTAGATACAGAAAATGAACAAATGTCTGTCCCTTTTTTAACCAATATTTCCATACAAAGAGGATCCTCTAAAATAAACATGTAAATGGACTGACATAATCAGCATAAAACAACATCACCTAAATACACATGCTAATTACAGGCATGGGGGATATAATTAAATTTTTGCTACAGGATACCTCCATCATGGTAGTTAATATTCCTTTAATTATAAACCCTATGTGGATGATAATTGCCCAACAGAACATATTACTGCTTGGTGGCTAATTTTTAAAGCCAGTGATCTGACAGATAGAAAAGATGCTGTGTTTAAAACAAGAGCTATAACAGACTCTGGGACTGTGCTATGGGAAATCTCAGGGTTATTTCTGCTTAGGAGCAGAAATTATATTTTTCAGTGTGATGGAAACAAACTGCATAGTTATTTTAAATTAGTTATTTCAGTGAAAATAACCTGTGAAATGGTTGTTTCTGTGTCTGTTTGCTTGCTTGCTTTTTCCTAATCCTATAGGGAAAGAAATGTAAGTTTTAAATGCCTTATACAGAATTAGAAAGCTACAGTTTTTAAAAGATGAACACCATAATACAGGAAGAGAATGTGTGCCTATTCAGAGGCATTTGAATTTCTCAAGATTTAGGATTTCACCACTCTGCACATTTATTGGAGGACTTCTGATAAAGCACTTCTCATCAACATACTGAACCCTAAAGTTCAGTAAGTTCAAATACATTGTACTTTTAGTACATGCATACATACAACTTAGCCCACGTGGTCAACATACAGACTTTTCAATACATCACTAGGACTGGACTCTTTTCATCATGTTGGGATAAGTCTGCAGGTTCAGAGTTCAGGTTCACAGTTTTCTCATGACACACTATTCTAGCAGCTCGGTATTTTACTCAGTATTTTAATTCTGGCAGAAAAGAGCTGGTTTGCCATATAAGTAGGTGTTCCTGACACTTGAATTACCAGATAGATTTAAAAATAATGGCTGATATGTATACATATATATATTTTCCTCCAAATCTAAGGCTTTTAGACACATAATTGATAACAAAATCCTTTAAAGAACTTGAAAAGGATTTTGGTTTTATATTCTAAAATTTTATATCAAATTCATGAGTGACGTTATGTATTTAGTAGGATGCATACTAAAGGAACACGTGGTGTGTGTGTATGTGCATCTGTGTGTATATGCGTGCTCTCCTATTGCTAGTCAAGCCAAAGGAAATTCCATTTACTTTGATCTGTTTGCACAAAATTAGAAAATTACATTTTGTTACTATTGTGTTGTGAAAATGTAGTATAAGAAAAATATATAATAAATATAATAAAAAATAAAAATAAAATACAATAAATAACAAAAGTTTTAAATCAAAGATTCAATTCCTGAGAGTTAGAATGAAAAAGTTACTTTTTGTCCAGAGTGTATTAAGTGTTCTCTGGTTGACAAAGAAATATTGCTTGGATGTTGCTGTATTTTCTCATGTGATGGGATTTCAAACTTGTTTATGGATACTGTATCTACTGAAAATATTGAGCTTACTACCTCTATTTTCAATGATATTGCTCAATTTATCACATGGATTGTGGGCAGCTTAAAACTATCATCAATCCTTTTGTTTCTTAGATTCTTAGATCTCTTTTTCTCACTTTTTTTTTCTTTTAATACATTTTTTTTTAAAAACCTTTGAGTCTAAATGTCCATCTCTGACTGCTTTGATATATCCAGGCATTTATCTTTCAATTTAGATTTTCAGGTTAATGAACTACTATTTTCTTAGGCATTGGACCAGGTAACTGTCAGAAAGTGAATCCCTCTGTTTTAAATGAGAGCGGACACCTTTCTGAACTCTGATTATTGATTTCTGTGAAAAATATATTCAGGAAAACATCTATTCAAAAAGAATTTTACACTTTAAGATACAATCCTTTTTAGGATGCCTCAAAGCTAGAGAGCTGCTAATTAATTAAAACCATTTTTACTGATCTCTCAAGGCTGTGATTCTACTCTTCTATCTAATCTCAGCTGAAGCTTTAAGCTGCTGAAATCTAACAAGACATATCAAATGCAACTGAACTTGTTTTATAATTTGGTAAACAAACATGCACAGTAAATCCTCACCATTAGCTTGTCAGTCACTACTTTATACAGCTAAAAATACAAACATACAGACTTTAAAGGTTTCAAAAGTCTGATAAGTGCAAATAGTTTGTTTTGAGAGAAACACTGTAGAAAGACTAGCAACATGAGTCAGTTGACATACAATAATTTGTTTTGCTGGAGCAAGCTGACCATAACCTGAGATTTGCAATTAGGATTTGGTCTTTTTGCATCATTATGAAGATTAGGATCATGATATTGCCAGTCAGAATTCCTCTGTTCACAGGGAAGTTCACTATCTCCTAACCTTTTTTACTACTAGATAGAGAGCTCTACTACAACCATTAGAAAATAGCCTAGATTTCCCGAAACTATTGCAGCATCTGAACAGTGATCAGACTTCCTTACCAAATAAATGTCTGTAATGTATTACATAAAATAATGCTTAAGAATATAAGACCAGAGAATTCCTACATTTACACAGTGTAAAAAGATTGCTTACAGGGATATTTTCTCATATAAAAATAAGCAGAGTTCCAGCACAGAATGCGGGGACCGATATTGGTAAGCAAGTCGCATCTATCATCTTTGATGTTGGTTTGAGAATGCAGGTGTAGGATGTAGAAGTTCTGTGAAAGCATTGCTCATATACTAACTTGGGGCTACATTTTCGAAATATAAAATGAATTCTCTGCCTTATTAGATGGGCAATGAAAAGA